GGATACATATTTTGGGGTTTCTATCAGGCAACACAAGTTGTTCCAATTTTTGGATTGCGGTTTCTGCAATGAATCCTGATATTGGCGATCCTATTGGTGTCCCTCGTTTGTGGTTATTCATAATATTCTCCGTTGAACTCGAAATGTGTGATCAGGCATAAGTCGAGTGATCTGCAGAGATCTTTTTCTCCAGTGATCCAGTTGTTGTCCGATAGTTCGGCCACAGTTGTCTTGGCCGAATCGAGGTCTACAGATGTGAATAGTGAGCTCACATCAAATGAGACCTGATCGATGCCTACGCTTTTTAGTTTCTCCAAAAATTGTCCCGGATTGTTGATTGAATGTTGAGACCCACGTATGAGATGATTCAACCTTTTTCGTAGTTCTTTCGCTGTAGGTCGCTGTTCCAGGAGGTGCTACAATTGGCCAAAGAGGTATTGATTCTTTGTGTACCTTCGGGAGTCCGTGGGAGCATTGCGTGGCCGAATCACAAGCTCTCATCCTCCAATATTCCTCTTCTGTATTCTTGTGGAGATCTTGGAGTTGGCATATGTTTTTATTGATTTTGTTTGCTGGTTGCTTGCTTTGGCCGTGTTCTAAGCGGCAATACATGGTTGCATCGTTAGGTAGCGCCTTTGCTTTACAGATGAAGTCCGGTTTGTCCATGATCATCATTAGGCGTCCCTTGTCTGCCCGTAGATTCACGATGTTTTCATCCTTCTTCAACTTGTTCGTTGCTTCCTTGTCTTTGCCGTAAAACACGTTGAGTAGTTTGTTGCGTGTGATGGCTGGAACGACAGTTCGACGAGCTTGCTGCTGCGCGTTTTCATCGAGTCCGACAGATTTCATCGCCGCTTCTAGGTTGGCTATATAACTCCAGGTTCATCGCACCTTAAAAGTTGAAAGCAAGTCCTTTGATAAAAACGTTTCCTTTAGCTCTCATTTGTTTCTTTTTTGATAGATTTTTTATCCAGGGTTCATTGTGATTACTTTTGCACTCTTGATTCCTAATCAACTTTGAGACCATCAAGATGAGCCTTCTTGTTTTTACCAGTGGGTGCAACTCTTTGTTCTACCGCGATGCTGAGTTGCTCCATGAGATCTGGTACTATTGTCCTCGAGCAGGCCTTTCATTCACTGACCGTTGCTCAAATGCAAGCAAATGCGACTCCACAAACTCAGCAATAGATCTCAGTTTTCAAGAGAGGCGAGGTGGATTTGCGAGAAAACATACTACTCACACGCCCCCTCATCAGTACTATTACCGTCACACTGGTATCTTCTAAACCATAGCTTTCTTTGAAGTTTGACCTAGCAAATATTTCAAATATTTGATAGACCATCCGCCACTTACGAGTCACTGAAAAAAGTTGAAAACTGTCTGCTCTCCTCAAAAAAACTTTCTTCGCCCTTCAACACTGTCTCTATTAACTGCGTAAAAAATTGGTTTCTTACCTAAAGTCCCTGAGTTTTCAAGGATATTTGAGGCACTTTCTGAAGAAGTCGTTTCGCCCTTGTCATCTTTGCCACTGTTCTGCTGAGTACCCATCGGTGCCGTCTTGTTCTGCTCGTTAGAAATTTCTGTGGTCCCACTTGGATCGGCCAGAGGCTTGTTTGGTCTCTGTTTCTTTTTGTTCATGAGGGAATCGGGGCTGATGTTCAGCGGATCGGAGTCTGCACCGAGCGACTCCCAATCAATTTCGTCCCAGTTAACACAGGCACTTGCGGGTCGTTCTGCCGACTTCAAACTCTGCAACCGAATGTTGAACAAAGAAAACAGATCGGGAATAAAATTAGTCGCCACAAATTCCTTATTCAGTTGATAATTCGAAACCATGTTTGGCCACCTCCTTTACCATTAGGATTTAATCTTCATTTGCGGTTTGCTACCCGTGCGAAATTTGTGAAAATACAATTTTACAGACAGCAATTAAACTAACAGTAGAACACGTAGTCTCCAGACATTAGTTCGTCTACACCTTTCTTCTAAACGGAATAGAGTGGTTACAACAAAGGATTATGAATATTCGTCACAAATTCTCCTGGATAATGAATGTGGAAAGATTTCCGAACTATAGATCTCAGCAGAACAAGGAAGTGGCTGGAATAAATGCATGGCTATTTATTTTGGAGAGCTTAACAATCGTTACGAAGCAATGCTATGCGGAAACGTTACTAAACGCATTAAATAAAGCGTCCATCTTTAATGATGTGGCGTTTTAAAACGTTACTAACCTTGATTCCAACACACTAAGCAGGGGTCCGTTAGTCGACAATACTTAGATCTTGTTGGTACCACATGTCTAAGGTTCTGAAGAAACGTGAAACGAAAACACCAGACTTACGTGGAATTCAGTAGACAGGCGTATTCTCAATGTTACCCTTTTCTCTAAGCTGACCAAGACTATCGTACCGCAGGTTCTGTTTCCTGCTATTTAACTCCTTCCAAATGACATGAGTGTTGAATCTAATCCCCGTGATTTCCAAAATGGCCCATTTAGTGAATCTTCAAGAACGCCACAGTATATCTGACGGGAAGCTGTTTGTACGATTTATGACGAGTGATCCCTTCACGCCCATTCGTAAACTGGTTAGCAGTTATGCTACTGTTATGTACTGAAAACTAACAGGTTTTCTTACACCCAGATTCTCTATGCAGCTACCGGTGATCCTCGAAGATTTTTAATCAACCTAGTTTTTGGAAAGTTTGTAAAATAGCTGGTAAACGAACTCTGCAGCGAGACACCATGACGTTGACGGCATTTTTGTTTTGCAGACTTCATCAATATCAAAAAAAGTTCGTGTAATGTGATGTAACATAGGCTGAAATCCATCGGTCTTAGGAAGCATAGACCAGGATAAGCTTGCACTGATGGGCGTTTTCAGAAACGGCATTCCNCATTCCTGTACGCTTTCCAAGCTGCACACTTTTATCAAGAGAAGGACCATTGTTATTTCTATGTTATAATCGTATAGGCTAAAAGCAGGCCTCAGTTGGAACGTCCATAAACCCAATTAAACCGACAAAAGTACATTGAGAAACTGCGGGGTTTTTCAGTTCAACTTTGTCCTCCAGTAGATACGCTGACAATTTCTTAGATTTTCGAAACACATCCAAGAGAAAAATGATCCTCTGCAATGAAGAAAAAGCAACTGGTCCTGAGACTTTAGCATTAGTGGGTCCTTTATTGCGCCTCATATACCCAGGATAGATTACTTCCGGGCAACAGACAGACCTTCCTATCAACTTAGTTATGTCTGAAGTCATTGCACAAACAAATTTTACTCCTTTGTCCTCCAGTAGATACGCTGACAATTGCTTAGATCTTCGAAACACATCCGAGAGGAAACCGATCCACTGCAATGAAGAAAAAAGTAACTGGTCCTAACACTTCAGCATGTGGGTCCTTTATTGCGCCTCATATACCCAGGATAGATTACTTCCGGGCAACAGACAGACCTTCCTATCAACTTAGTTATGTCTGAAGTCATTGCACAAACAAATTTTACTCAGAAAGTTAAAAAGTAAGTTCCCTTAAGTCACTGCTTCAAACTAATGGACTTCATAGCCGAGCGTATCTAAGAAGTACACCGAGAAAAATTCGTAAAGCAAACCAGCACAAGCGAGGAGTAACCGATTTGTTCATCTTTCATAATCCTGACCATCCATCCACACCGACGAAGCATTCTACGGTCAGTTTTGTCACATTTATGTCAAACAATATTACTATGATGATACTCTAGTGATACAATCAAACTTTTTCAAAACTCAGAAGACCGTTGTCCAACCTCCCGTTACGAACATTGACACACAGAAGTTTCGACTTTGCTATATTGTCTGCGATAAGTTGAATTTTAAAATAAGCAAGCGAAATCAACTCTATTTATGAAGCGTATAACAGATAGTCTCATTGCTGTTCTTACCGTTTTTGGTCAAAAGGAGCGAACCCGCGAGCACAAAATGTTTCATACCGGTGCAAATCTCGTCAGGAAATGTGTGGTTAATAGTATTGCATCACTATTCACTTCTCCAGTGAGTAAGTGATGCAGTTTCAAGCAAATGTATCTCGTAAAATCGGGTGTTTATCACGTGATTGTAATGTTTAAAAATGGAAGCTTACTTTAGAACTGTTGAGTGAATATTTTGGTGGAGATAACCCTGTCTCGTCCGTATCTGTCATAACAAATAAAACGGCAGATATAAATAGGTAATGGAAGTCCGGAAGTTTTCGTTTTAATTAATAATGGGTTCTAATCTTAGCGAACATACACTCATTTGCAAACTAATTTGGTTTTATCGAGAGACTCGCCTGGAACCCAGCTGAATCTCTCGTTCGTGATGTTCTCAGGCAACTAAATGTGCTGCAGCACCAGGCCGCCTCATGTTTCAGTCGCTACGATATTCGAGATGTCGCGATACATGTACATCTTTGTAATTTACTACTCATAAGGTTCCTGACAATCCATCGACCGCCCACGACTGGTTTCGCCCTTCTTGGGGCTCATCAGGTTGGCGCAGTCCCTGGGTTTCCTCTAACCTTATGTTCTACTTGAAACCAAATTGATTCAGCTGGGTTCCGGGTGGATCTCTCGAAAAAAAAATTATTTTGCAATGAGTGTATATTCGCCAGTTTCGTGCAATTGGTTTCAAGTAGAACATAAGGTTGACGGAAACCCGGGGACTGCACCTACCTGATGAGCCCCAAGAAGGGCGAAACCAGTCGTGGGCGGTCGATGGATTGTCAGGAACCTTATGAGTAGTAAATTACAAAGATGTACATGTATCGCGACATCTCGAATATCGTAGCGACTGAAACATGAGGCGGCCTGGTGCTGCAGCACATTTAGTTGCCTGAGAACATCACGAACGAGAGATTCAGCTGGGTTCCAGGCGAGTCTCTCGATAAAATCGAATTAGTTTGCAAATGAGTGTATTTTCGCTAAGATTAGAACCCATTATTAATTAAAACGTAAACTTCCGGACTTCCATTACCTATTTATATCTGCCGTTTTATTTGTTATGACAGATACGGACGAGACAGGGTCATCTCCACCAAAACATTCACTCAACAGTTCTAAAGTAAGCTTCGATTTCTAAACATTACAGTCACGTGATAAACACCCGATTTTACGAAATACATTTGCTTGAAACTGCATCAATTACTCACTGGAGAAGTGAATAGTGATGCAATACTATTAACCACACATTTCCTGACGAGATTTGCACCGGTATGAAACATTTTGTGCTCGCGGGTTCGCTCCTTTTGACCAAAAACGGTAAGAACAGCAATGAGACTATCTGTTATACGCTTCATAAATAGAGTTGATTTCGCTTGCTCATTTTAAAATTCAACTTATCGCAGACAATATAGCAAAGTCGAAACTTCTGTGTGTCAATGTTCGTAACGGGAGATTGGACAACGGTCTTCTGAGTTTTGAGAAAGTTTGATTGTATCACTAGAGTATCATCATAGTAATATTGTTTGACATAAATGTGACAAAACTGACCGTAGAATGCTTCGTCGGTGTGGATGGATGCTCAGGATTATGAAAGATGAACAAATCGGTTACTCCTCGCTTGTGCTGGTTTGCTTTACGAATTTTTCTCGGTGTACTTCTTAGATACGCTCGGCTATGAAGTCCATTAGTTTGAGGCAGTGACTTAAGGGAACTTACTTTTTAACTTTCCGAGTAAAATTTGTTTGTGCAATGACTTCAGACATAACTAAGTTGATAGGAAGGTCTGTCTGTTGCCCGGAAGTAATCTATCCTGGGTATATGAGGCGCAATAAAGGACC